ACAGTGGGCCTGTTTATGCAAATGAGTAGTAACAAGTGTAATAGTCTTAGAAAGCGCTCGTTATTTAGATCTGCTTATAATGGGCTGTCGTTACACCCTCTTGACGATTGCTCGATAGTAGGGTTAAAATTTCCAGTGCCATCATAAAATGTCGAAATATGATTAATGACTTTTGTATTGGCAAAAAAGCAAAAACGTAAGAGTGATTAATTTCATTTGGGCTTTATGGGCTAACAAGTCATATTAAAAACTTTTTGGGGAAGCTCTGGGGCAGAGACTCGCTTCGGAATATTCAGAAGAAAATATTTTAATATATTTACGGTGTTTTTTCATAGTATTTGAATTCATAGACAGCTTTTATATATTAAATCTTCGTTTTTTAGCAACTTAATGCTTTTGGAAAGGTTATGCAAAATATCTCAAATAAATACTTTTGGATGGAAATTTTCCGGTTTCGAAAAAATACATAAATAAAATGCATTTAAAATTATCTTTTTTTTGTGAGATTCCTGTGATTTCCTCGGCGGCCAACTAACATCACTAAGACGGGAGATTACACAGCTCACAATAAACACATATTCGCTCGATCTTTGTGGCGTGTATCACCATCTTGTTGGAAGTTCATACGAGTATTGTCCAAATCGTGTTTTTCAATTGCAAGCCAAAAAAATTCGGTTGTCATACGACCCGAACGCTCCGAATTGACATTGACTTCGTCGTTTTCAAAGAAGTAAGGTCCAGGGACTGCAGCCGATTGTAAGTTTTTTGCGTGTAATAAATTATTTGAGTGTTCTAGGAGCTCCAAATGCGACAATTTTGCTTACTTACGTATGGCCCGTGTGAGAAAGTGCCGAAAATCGTCAGACAATTTATTTAAATAAAATATTAAGTTAAATTTTCTAACTCAGGTCGCCCCGCGGCAGGGAATGTCACCTTTTCGAGTGTTTTTCTGACATGAAATGAAGCTCCTTATAAAAAAATAAACCATCAGCCGTTCGGAGGCGGCTTAGTATAAACTGTAGGTCCCTCCATTTGCGGGGAAAACCACAAATTGGAGGAGAAGCTCGACCGAAAATCGCTTCAGCGGTTACAAAGCGCTTATTATATATATATATATATATATAAGCACAAAGCGGCTATTTTCGTTTTGTTAAGCTTTTTTCGAATGCAGTGCGGGATTTCGAATACAATTCGACGCCGGCTCACTTGCTACAACAGTCAGTTGGCGCAATGTGTTAATTTTCTAAGCGTCAAACATTGAGCTATAATAGCAACATTTTCTTCTGAATGCGCACGGGTAAGTTCGCGAGTCGTTTTGTTCGATAGCCAACCGGGTTTGCGAACTCGCTAAATAAATGGATCTACAAAATGCTTGAAGGACGAAGTTATTTTGCCCGAATCTACTTGCAGTTGCAAGAGTTGAGTTTTTAATATTTGCCAATCACTTTCAAAACTAAACATAACTGTTTAGTAAACCATAAACCGTAAACCGTAAACCTCGTGCTGATATTTTTGGCAATTGAAGATTTTAGAACTGAAATAAGACATTATTCAAAATGCCACTCATCTGCTGGGTCAATATAAAAGCACGACTTGTTGTTGGATTTTAAAATGATTATGTTTTCAACTTTTATTGAATACTTATACATAATTATGATTACAATATATGTATATGCGAATTTCGTTTATATTTTTGCTTAAAAAATTAAAAATAAATTTTTGTCATAATATTTAAGTAGTTTTGTGTATGTAGTAGTATTGTGTTCCTAATATTTATATTAAATAAAAGTTATGTTTTAACGTTTTTAATGAAAGTTTAATGAATGCAATTAACTAATCGATAATTAGTTAATAATTTTACTCGTATACAAGTAGATGTTTATTTTTACTTTTGAACTTCGGCGTTATCTTAAATAATACATAGAAGTAGTAGAAATAAACCGAATTCTATTTACGATCGAAGCAAGATCCGTTCAGAATTGAAGAGCTCAAATTTTAAATCCATTCGCATTTGCACTAAGCCGCTATGGGAGACCTGCTAGCGTTAATGCTCATTCGTTGGAAAATGTAGATGGTTCTAAAAATAAACATGTTAATTAAGGGAATAAATATATATTTATATATACGAGTATATAAATAAAAGGTTGTCAAATATCTCCCTTTCGCCTTTTTGCTCTTCATTCAATGCTTTATAAAAAGTGATACAGTGATCGCATTTAGTTAAAATATGCGCCGTTTTGTTCGATGATCTGCTACCATCTAGACGGAAACTTCATAATACCTTCCTCGTAGAAGCCCCCCTCCTTATTTGCGAAGAATTCGGACAGCCACTTTTCACAAGCCTCTTTTGAGTTCAACTTCACACCACCAAGGGCATTCGCCATGGACAAGAACAGGTGGTAATCACTTGACGCTACGTCCGGGCTATATGGTGGATGCGAGAAAACCTCCCATCCGAGCTCCCGTAGCTTCTGACGAGTCATCAACGAAGTGTGTGGTCTGGTGTTGCCCTGGTGGAACACTACACCCTTCCTGTTGGACAATTCTGGACGCTTCTGGTCGATCGCCTGCTTCAAGCGGTCCAGTTGTTCGCAGTAGATGGTAGATGGCCATATGGGAGCAGCTCATAGTGGATGATTCCCTTCCAATCCCACCAAACACACAGCAAAACCTTCCTGACCGTCAATTCCGGCTTGACCACTGTTTGCGACGATTCACCGGCCTTCGATATTGTCGTATGTGATCCATCGTCGCCAGTCACCATCCACTTCAAGAATGGGTCGAGTTCATTCCGTTTCAGCAGCATATCGCAGGCGTTGATTCGGTCCAGAATTTTTTTTTGCGTCAAATTATGCGGCACCCAAACATCAAACTCTTTTTTGTATCCAGCCGTTGTTTTGTAGGTTATGTCAAGACCTTTCAAATTATGTATAGTATTTGCCAGATACGAGCTCTGTAGCGCTTTGTACATAGCCGCGAAATTCAAAGGACAAAAAAGCGGAAATGTTTGACAACCTAATATTTGGAATTGTAAAGCGTACTCACCCAATAAGCAAAAAGCCGATCAAATAAATGGCACAGCTCAGATAGTAGAAGGCGGCCGGATTTGATACTAAAGTCATTTTATAAATACTAGTGTAGATGGGAGAAGCTGCCAGGGGAGCTAGCGTTTGTAGTGCCGAAATCACAGCATATACTTTACCTAAACACAATACGAGTATGTGAGGAAAGATTGGATTAAGAAATGTTGCTCTTTAGCTAAGCATAGTTTCGCTGGAAAATTACCGATTTCCGTTGCTTCCACCAAACTCGCTAGCACAGCTTGCAACATGGGATTGTTGATGCCAGCCATGAAGCCACACGCAGTTGCTAGATACATTTGCCAAAACTGTTGAGCCAAGGTGCGCATCAGATCTTCAGTGAAGCAGCCGAGTATACCCAAAGCAGAGACCACGAGTAAAGGTGCTTTGAAAAGCTGAAAAATCGATCGATGATTGAGTTGTGATTTTAAGGTGAAGGCAAATCAGATATCACAGCATGTCGTAAGGTTTTTGTTTATTAAAAGTGATTTGATGTATGATATATATTTTTTTTTTTGGTGCTATGTTATGACATTATGATGATTTGATTGCGACACTCTTTGAGAATATGGTAGTAATTGTAAGTATTTGCAATGTAAACTCACCACGCGCAGTAAAACCAGAACTAAACCACAGCCAATCATTTTAATGACAATTCCAGCGGCCATTAAAGTGGTGAAATCCTGCAGAGTGACATTAAATTTGTTGCGCAGAAACAGATACGAAACACCGCCTTCACCCTCTGTATTTGAAAAGAAGAGAGACATAAATTTTTTTGACGCTAAGGTTTAAGGGATGGCTACAAAAAAGCCTACAAAAGCTTCGGAGATACACCCTTGGGATGGTGTGCGCTCAAAGAAACGCGTTTTTCTCGAAACCCTGTTTTCAAAGCCCGAAAGCAGCTTTTCTTTTCATGCAAGGGCATACTTACGTTGCACGAAAGTCGTCGTGATCATTGTGAATATAATGCACCAGATAACGGCCCGATCAAAGTGCGGTCTGCGCTTTAAGCAACTTCTCACGAGGTCCTTAATTAAGCCAAATTTGAAGAACTCACGCAATCTTGACTATTATGGACAAATTAAAAAAATTGTTTTTCAATATTTCTTAATATTTTGTTGTTATTGTTGTTGCAAATATTTTTTACTAACCTCTTGCCGCTCGTGTTTCACATTTAGACTTTCGGTTATAAAGAAGTACACAAACAAGAAAGCAGCCAAATCCATGCCAGATGAAACCAAGAAAACACCGTTAACACCAATCGCAGACAATATATAACTGCTGATTAAATTTCCCCCAAGCGAGCCAATACCCACAGCGCCTTCAATGAAGAACATACTGTTCGTAGTTTCAAGAAATTTAGCATTTGTCATTTATGAGTCCCTTGCAATGTTTTAGCTAACAAATACTCACCGTCTCACTTTACCATCCTCATCCGACACATCAGACACCAGGCAGAAAACCATCGTTATCAGGGCGCAGGTGCCGCCAGTCACAGTCAAGGGAATATTCGATAGTACATAAACCCACGGATTTAATGGCGTCGCCATTGATATACCAGTTAGAATTGTTGAGGTAGCGTGTCCAATAAAGGCGGCTAAGAGTTAGTCAAACAAAACAAAAATCAAATTGATTATACATATGTATATGTTTGTTTGTATATATGTTTACCGACCAGCAAAGGTTGCTATGAGCACCGGGCGACGTCCAAACTTATCAGACCAAGGTCCTAGAAGCAAGCTGAGAATTGCGGGCAAGATGCTGGTAATTAACGAGCCGGCCATAATAATATTGGCCACGTAGGGTTGTATTTTGGTTTCAATATCCTTAAACGAAAAAGTTAAGAATAGGAGATAAAAATATTGTATAGTCCATGTGAAAATTAAAGTTCTTGCGTTTTTTAGGCTTGTGGTTTTCAAGATGGCAAAGCACATGGCATGTAGCGCTGTCTTGTAGAAACCAAATCGGGTCTATAGAGTTCGTCATTGACTGTAACATTATGACGGGCTTCCGTTTTGTAGAAATACGAACCTAACAGTAACTTTTTGAGTATGTCACAGCGTCTCAACATTGGTTTGCGGCTCATCATCCCTACAAATGCGACAAAAAGTGAGATTCTTTGCTGAACAAAACTTTATTGTGAAAATGGGGACCGGTGGTCATCTCGTCTTGTGGCCATTCAATGGAAGTGCGACGTTATTGATGGTCGTTCGACTTCGATTTTTGCTCAAGTTGGGCTTTGTAAGTCCAAGAACCAAGATCCTTCTGCAAAATCTTTCATAAAGTTTGATGTGTTCAGCTTCAACTGTTTCGTACTCTGGCCATGACGGAAAAGTATTGTTTTAAAATCACGTCTCAAAAACGTTCTTTTCTCAGTTGTTGTTATCAGGCAGTTCGGAAGTGCTCAAGTGATTACCACCATTAGCTTCCCCAGCTGCATGGATTGCTTTCTCCATTTCACCGTTTGGTTGTTTTCCAAATATTAGAGAAACTACTATTTCAAATGATCTCTGAATTACTGACGCACTTACTGAGATATCTAAATCACTAGCACTACTGCTCTCTGAGAGCACTCATCAGCAATGGGTTGGCATCCCGAAAGCACGAAAAAGCAGCTGATACAATGAGGATTGCCGTGCCGCAGTGGAGAGAAAAATGCTGCCTACCTCACCGCTTTGCGATCAACCCCAACATGTGCAGGGGGGGATGGCAACCGAGAATTGAAGATCGAGACAGGAATGAATTGAGTAGATATGAAGAGCTGGAGAGCCGAGACAAAATTTTGTAGGACACAGAGAGATGATCCAATGACTGATGTCTAAAGCTTAATGAATTTACGGCGGCAACACTTTCACAGCCTACAGAATAGTAGTGAAAATAGAACATCAGCAGATGATGAATCCAATTCCCGAATCGATGACGATGAAATTATAGCAGTTTCCCGCCTAGGGCAGGGTCTGATGAATTGTCAGCCGAGCAATTCATATACAGCGGCGAAGAACTGATAAGCGGTTCAGATCAGCTTTTTCGGAAGAAAGCTGTTTTCGTCGATTTTAAAGCAGTCTTCGATGATAGCACGAAAAGGAGCAGCCTCTATGCAGGTATATCTGAATTTGACCTCACCTCGGTAAGAACCGATCTAAGCCATCCGATAAAAAATGAGGTAACCTCTTTACCGCGTGACCTCTTTAATTTATTGCTGGAGAAAATAATAATTGCTGGCAGAGTTGAAAGGCGAAGGTACAATTTTTTTATAAAAGTGTACAGCTGCTGGCGTATGCCGTGAGTTCTACTTTCTTCAGGGTGGAGAAGGAAGCGAAGCGTATGGGTGTAGTAGTGAACGATGAGAACACAAAATATCGTCAAGATGAACTAATTAAATTATTTCCATCAAAATCAATATCTTTAAATTTGTGTATAATACTGCGGAACGTTTGTTGGTTTAAGGTCAGGATTTAAAATTCATGAAATTACTCACTTGTGATGCTTCATTTTTAGCCTTAATTCCCAGCATCGGCTCGCAAAGTTCATCACTGTAATCGTAAACAACGGTGCATGTCAGATAAAGTTGTTGATTTTGCAGCACAGCACCTTTTGGGAGTATTCAAGAGATAACAATTAATTTCATGCTTATACTTTTAGATAATTTCTTTTGCCTTTAATTCGACTGACTTACTAGCCATTGTTGTGGATATATAAATTAGAAACACTGCCGGTTCTATAACTGTAAATCTTTTCTTAACTTCCGAATTTGAGGAACCAGTTGAGTCACTCGAATTGTCCGTCATATCCTGCGATTTCTCAGCAGTTGTAGGATTTAAATTTTTCAACGACATTTTGCACTACAAAACACTCTTATATACTTTTATATTTAATATATTATATATATATATTTTTTTATTTAAATAAAATCGTTCGCACACCGTACACCGCAGAGATTCGCGTTCGAAGTGCTACAATAAGGTTATAAACAATTTTCAATTAAATAATTCGATTAAATACTATTTTCAACATCTCCTCGTCTCTAATAGGCAAGCACAGATAACGGTGTCTCTGGTGTAAGTGTAGTGAAAAACGATATCAATACAAGCATACATATGATATGATACACAAATGCATACAAAATTTATCTTATTGAGTCATTATCAATGCGCACTTTCAGTTTTGAGTATGAGAGCTGAAGATATTTACTGAGCTATAAGCGCGAGGGGGGGTGGAGCAAATGGGGTCTCCTTACTTCAATTCTTTTATTTAAATATAAATATTTTTGGCTTTGAGAAACACTTGGTAGTCATACGGTAACTCCCAAAATTAATTGTTAAATAAATTAAAATGACAAATAAAAGTATTTGATCGAACGGAATCGAGCGGAACGCAGAAATTAGCTTGCCGTGAGCTTTCTCGATATATACATATATGAGCCGCTCAGTGCACAACGCTTCGTTTAACTCCACTTTTTGAGAAATCTTTGTTTTAAATGTCAGAGCCTTTGGTATAGTCAAAACTTTTTATATTTATAATAACTTTCCTAAATAAAAAAAGATTAGCACCGTTAAAAGGCAAATTTTTTTGGCCATTGAATAATAAGTAATTTATTTCAGAAGCAATTTCATTTACCTCCATACTCCAATGTAAGTCGTTTCAGTAACATTGTATCTGTTCTGTAGTTTCAGTCTTCTTCTTATTAATCTTATATAAATAAAGTTTTCCCTTTTCTTTTGGGCGCGATAGCCGAGTTCTGCCATTCGGAAAGCTTATAGAATACTAATTTAAATAAAAATATAAGTAAAGTTTTCTAATTTCACTCGGCCCTCGGCAGATAATTTCAACCTCTCCGAGTGTATTTCTGACATGAAATAAAAGCTTCCCGTAAAAAACCCATCAGCCCATCAGAGGCAGCTTAGTATAAGCTGTTGATCCCTCCATTTGTTGGAAAACTATCAAGATGCAAAATCACAAATTGTTGGTGGAGCTCGGTCAAAAATCGTCAGTAATATAAATACATATAACATTTTCCCAACATACACGAACAAAATACATGAGAAATATTGCTACAACCATAGCAGCATCGGGCGATTTCAGATTTTGACATGTCAAACGATTCTTTCTTTCTTTTTCTTCTTTCTTGTGTTTTGTTTACCAGCTTACGCCATTATAGCCGAGTTAATAACGATGCGTCATTCCTTCCTTTTTTCGCCACTGTATTTGAATAGGTTGGCAGACAATCGATCGGCCCCCCTAAGCGGTTTTCCAAGCCGGACAATTGCTATTCCAACATTTTAAGAGTCGAGCAATGAAACATCTGCCCCATCGTCATCGAATGGGCAAGCGTGTCCATCGTCTCCTGGTGTTCTAATTTCAATGCCATTCAGCAGGCTAGAGAATTCTTCCCTCCGTAAATTTAGTATAATCTGGGCATCAGTAGCTACATCACCTCTTAGCATCCTACAAGAATGTGCTTAGGTTTTGAAACCTGCTTTTCGTAGAATTTTCGAGCATTACCCTTGTCGGCCATGCTCTCAAGCTCTTCACAAACATTCATTTCATCCTTGTTCCTTTTTTACCGTCCCATGCGTCTCGCTTCCCTTTTCTATCAGCGGTCGTTCGTAACGTTGCGAGGTAGACAGTCTGTTTTCTCTTCATAACGGTACAACAATGTTCAAGTTGTTTTTTCTATCTTACCGAATATCATTGGTTTCATTTGCAGCGTATATGGAGCTTGCAATGCCCTCCTACAGTTCCAATACAAGTTTACCTAGTTGTTCTCAAAGAGCAGGAGTGTAAGTTGAGTAGAAAATCGTTCGGCAGTCTGTTCTGACTGCAACTTTTCGACGTCGAAGGTTTCTTGTGTTTGTTGACGGTCTTTCTTTGGTACAAACAGGCGGATGCAAATCTTAGATGCAACACGATAATGGTCCGAGTCGTTGTTGGGAACTGGAACCATGTCGTCTGTCTAACACAACATAATCGATCTCTTTGTTAGTTTTTCGATCCGGGGACAGCCAACTTGTTTGTATGGCAATGTATGATTGGCGCTTTGTAACCGCTGAACCGATTTCAGTCAATCTTCTCTTCAATTTGTAGTATGCGTATTGATGTTTTTCCAAGAAATGGAAGCACCTTCACTTTATTCTAAGCCGCTTCCCAACGGCTTATGGTTTTTTGAGGAACTTTCATTTTATCTATGTCAGAAATACACTCAGAGGGCGACCGCAGTTGGAAAAAATAATTTATAAAAACTGTTGAAAGTAAGAAGTATCATTAAGATGCAGTTAAGAAGAATATAAAAGTGACCTATCAAGACATTGAGACAGCCATTGACGTTAGTGGGACCAACATACATTCAATATTGCATGACATTTGACTGTAAAAAAAGTAAAGAAGTTTGTTTTTGGATCCCATAGAATTTGTCAATCGCTCATATTGATTGGTTGAGCGAAATGTTAACATCGAGACAGTTGATGAATCGTAATTTTTCCGTAAGTAAACAGCAGTCGACTGAAAGGGTGTTTAAAGATGAGCCGAATTCAACAAAAGTTGTTCGCGTACGAAGCACTTCCAAGCAAATGCAATGCAAACAAGTAAATTCCGAGTTGTACTCCACCATTTGCTTGCCAGATGTCTTTCAAGAAATTAGGAAAACCAGCCGCTGAAGACGGACACGGATCTCACTTCACCACGACAATGCTAGGACTTAAGCCTCGTGTGCGAAAACTGCATTTTTGCGCACTAAAAACATCGATTTGATGCCTTGCCTTGGCACCAAATAACTCTTTTTTATACTCGTACGTATAAATTAAAGTGAGAAGTCAATGTTTTTTGACACCTAAGGATTGGGGTTTATGCATTCAGAATGCAAGTTTTGGAGATAATCAGTCAATGAGAGTGGCAAAAGTGCGGCAAAAGTGTTTGGAAAATTAGTTCAAACGCAATCAAAAGTAGATAGATCTTAAGGGAGAATATTATGAAGTACAAAAGGCCACCCTCGTAGTAGCTGTGTGCTGTGTATTATTCTGCTAGTACTAGACTTCGCCTTGCTTTTTATCATAAGGAAATTTAAATTTAATTAAGCAAGACTTCCGAAGATTGTTTCTCTTTGTTTTTAAGTTTTTAAACTTTCTTATTCTTTATATATACACAATTAAATATATACTACATTTTTTCAACTTTTTATAATTCATAAATATATTGCAAATAATTCGATACACAGGTGTGGACACACATTGTCATTTTGTACTTAACCGCTTGTCGCTTGCTTTTCCTTCCGTGTCTTTTTATTTAAAAATAAAAAAAAAGTACCCTTTCAGGCGTGATTCATTTACGGTAGCTGCCAGTTTATGGTTCTGTCATACTTAAGTATCACGCGTAATTATAACAGATTACCTTTGCTGATAACAACAGACATAACATCAATTAGATATGTACGTGTATAGATGTCTAAGTAGGTAGATATATATCTTTATCAATGATCATGGTTGCTCACTAGTTTCAGCTTGAGACACAACTCATTCATGAGTTTTTATTATATGTATATATAAAATTCAACAACTGTCGCTCGTTTGCCTCCAGCAGGTCTCTACTGCTGCCAACAATGACTTTTAAAAATCTGAACCAGTTTCACTGCTTCACTCTATTACTTTGATAAGAAATTAAAAGAAATTTATAGTAAATTTGTCGTGCTTTTACCTAAGATTCTCTTCTAGATTGTATGTATTGATGATTGATGTAATTTAATGGGAATTTTTGGAAATTTGAGTAATTAACGCGTCTTTTCTCTTCTGATTTGTCGCTTTTTTGGTGACTTTATACAAATCTTTTTGGAATTTTTTTTTTTATCACTGCAAAGGCGTGATGCCCCGAACCCCTCAGAGGTAGAATGGTGGTCTCATAATTAGCGCGACTTGCAGATGCGCCATGGCGTATACGTAAACGTATCTCATTGTAAATATGTACTCGTACATATCTCAGAAAATATATAAATAGATAAGAATATTTATAAATACAGGATTATATGCATATACGTGTACACACATTTAATGCTAACAGACAGATTCTTGACGATAACAATAATAATTAATAATATGTAAACAACAATGAATGTTAACAATATATAATATAATGTATTTATGTGCAAGTGTCTGTCCGTGTTACGTACACTCAGCGCACTCTAAGCACCCCTTTGCTTCTTACGTATGTATATTTATATATTTTATATTGAGATATCAGAAGGCGCTAGGCATTTCCGTACTTGAGCTAAATGTTTTTTCTGTTTTTTTATTGCACGGAAAACAAAAATCAAAACAAAATCTTGATAGTATTTCGGCGGTGTTCGGCCATTAAAATGTTAAATAAATATATATATTTCGCTTGCCCATTGTAATCCTTATCAGTGAATATGCGTAGTATTGTATACATACATACATATGTGTGAATACATTTTTATATGTATGAACGAGATTTGGGAACACATGCACGCATGCATTGTGAAAAGTCTTACGGCGATGTTGTATTGATGAAAGTTGAGCTTTTTTTTTTGTATTTTTTTTTTTGATCTTAGAGTGGAATTAATGCTAGTTACCATGAAAATGTTAAATTACAGAAAATATTATTTTGTTATTATTATTTATTAATAATTAATTTCCAATAATTTTTAATTTTTTATGCGTGTCTAATTGTGAGTAAGCTTTAAAGGGTATACAACTGCTTATTTGCACACATTATTAATTTAAATATATTTATAAGATCATTTCATCAATATGTGTATCAAATAGACCAAAAGGTTATTCATTTTGCGGTTTCGAAAATAAACATAAACAAAATATAAACATAAATAAAATTTTGAATGCAAATAATTTTTTTTTTTTACAAATTTTCTTTTTTATTATAAAGTTTAACTCAAATTGGAAGGTATCTCAGCCATAGTTTTCAAGTGCTCAAGAAACAAAGGCTTATCCGCATAAACACAGTCTTTCGCGTAGTCTTACCAAACAAAAAGTCCACCGGTGTCAAATCGCACGTTCTCAGTGGCCAACTGACTTCGCCAAGACGGAAGAAATACGCGGACGAGAAATTTCTCTTGCAATAAAGCCTTATACGGTCGTGTTGTATGGCAAGTGACACCATTTTCTTGAAACCACATATTAACCAAGTCCTGCTCTTCATTTGCAGGCCGAACTACATCGGTTATTGTACGGTCATAATGCTCCGAATTGACAATGATAGTCTTGCCGTTGTTGTTTTCAAATAATTAAGATCTAATCATCGCTGAATAAAATTTTGTTCAATAAATCGCCGCCACTGCTTATTGGTCAATCACCAAATCGACGTACGTACGGCGTTGTGAATGGTCAGCTGGCTTCAGTTGTCGTGAGCTAAACTTTGTATGTTCTGAGCAATATACACATTCGGGCATTCGGCTAAACTTTCACTTAAAGTACCTTTATTTGCGGTTGAAGGAGCAAAACGATGGCGCACGGTGCTTACAATACAGTCTCTTCAAATTTCTTTAAAATTTTGCCTGAGTAGTTGGATGATTATGTGTTAAATAGTGGGTTTCAACAATTTTAAGCGCATTATGTGATCCATTTTTTTTTAAACAAAACATGATTTTTTACTAAAACAAAACATGAGAGATGTCAAAGTACAGCCCTATACTTGTACGACATGGATAACTCTATATATTCCAAGTATGAATTGGTATTATCCATCTTCATAATTTATTTTTTCAAACTAAAAACACATAAGCTATTTGTTTAATAAGTTATTTTCTAAAAATATCAATCGACTTAATAAAAATTGTATAATCTATTAACATTTAATTTATATTTGTTTCTTCTGAATTTTCTGAAAAATATGTAGCTTTCTGCTCACCTACTGCCCATGATTAGGTGGCGATATTGTACGTATATGCACCAGCGTCTCAACGATTTTAAAGAATTCAAAAATCGTAGCATACTTTTAGGTTTTGCCAGCAGTTAACGTACACTTCTGCAGGAAAGCGGTGAGATAAAAGAGTGTCGTCAAAAATATTTTATCAGCATTTATATTTTTCAAATAAGAATAGTTTTTTGAAGCAAAAAGATACATTTTCATAATTATTTTTATACTGTTGTTCTACACATTTTTGTGGCTTTTTGTATTTTGTCCAATTTTTATTCCAATTATTATTGCAAAGCACGATAAAAAAAGCAGGTCTCTTTTCCAGAAAAAGTATTCCATTTAGACAAATCATTAAAATATTTTAACTAGAATGAACCATGCATACTTATAATAAAAAAATAAATAAATAAAAATAAAATAAATAAAAAGCTCCATTTCCCGTAATAAAAAAATTTCAAGCAAAAAGAACTTTATCTTTCTTCCGACTCATCAGCTATTGTCATCGTCCATGCTTTCACACCATATAGCAGGACGTTAATAAATTCTCTACTTAGTCCAAGGTAGCACCTCTTGGTCCGAAAGCTAAGTCAATCGGTCGGTAACTTTTGGTGACTTTTCGGATCTTTACAAACGAACGACACGAAATTTAAGTTTATATTAAAAAAAAAATATATATTTTTGCAGAGCTTTAAAATTTAAAAATTTTCAGAATAACACCATCCTTAAAATATCTAAAAATTTTAAAAATTAGTGGTATATTTTTTTAATTGTGCCATTTTAACTAATTTAAGGGAAACGCCATGTTCATATGTGTTTTCAAAACGATAAATCCCTTCTTAAAGATTTATTACAATTCCATAATTTATTACTTTATAATTATTATTTTTATTTCCTAATTTTTAATAGTAATTATAATATAATATAAAATGACTGCTTGCCAAATTATGTGTATGTATTTATAAATATATTGTATAAAAAATATTTAATATGTTTTGTACCTATGACTACATACTTATTGCTATTTTCGAAAAAATCGCGGCCATAGAATTAATTATTGGGGAAATAAATATATATAGTACATGCATATGTATATTAGTATATAAAAACACCTATATAATTATATATTACACACACCAAATACTTCTACATATTTTTACGCATCTAAATAATATACATTTTTTAATTAAAAAAACTGTATAGTATAATTTAAAAAAGACATGCTGCTTAACCGTTTAACCGTTCTTAAATGCATTCGCGAATTTTCAAAATTCCCCAATCTCTTTTCTAGTTTATGCTCTTGCTGGATTTGGCGGACTAACGATTATGCCCTTGCGTTTTGATATGCAGAAAATTAAACTGTGAAAAAATTTCATTTAATTATAAACATACAAATAATATCTTAGCAGAAAGAAGCTGATGAACTTACGCAACAAGCACAAAACTAAGTAAGTACAGCACAGCACTAATGATATTGAACATTCCCGGATAATAGGAGAGCGTCGCATCATAAATGGATGTGTAGAGTGGCGATGCACCCAGCGGCGTGATTACTTGCAAGGCAGTGGTCACCGAGAAAACTTTACCAGTTTCATTTGTGGGCGTGACGAAGGAGAGAACCGTTAGCAGCATGGGAGAAATAATGCCACCCAAGAACCCGAACGCAGTGCCGAGGTACATTTCCCAAAATTTTTGCGCCACAGCACGAACAAAACTCTCACAAACGGCCGAGAAGAGCGAAAGCATTCCTATGGTAACCAAAGAGAAGCGTGCGTACTGAAATCAGATTAAATAGAGATTTGTATTTAGAGTCATTATTAATTAAAACACATTCTACACACCTTTCTGAACACGATAACTCCAAAAATACCACCAATAATTTGTATGGCATCTCCGATGGAGTTGTAATCACTGTATTGACTAACGGTCACATCGAATTTGGCGCGTAAAAATAAGTAGAAGACATTGCCCTCGCCAGCTGAAATTCAAAAGCAAAAATTAATGCATATTTTATATTGCCCGAGAGTAAACATTAAGCCACTCTACTCACACGACGTGAAATTGGTAATGATCAAGGCAGACATGGAAAGCCAAATGAAAGCTCGCATGTAATTCGCACGCTTGGCGACGCAAGTTCTCACCAAGTCAACAACGTGACTAATGCTGAAGAACTGACAGAGTTTGTACTGCAAAGAGAAGAGAAATGATACGAAATGCATTCACTACAAATAAAAAATGAGAATTAAAAAAAAATAAATAAACAAAATGAAATAAAATATAAAATTATAACACAAGAAGAAAATAAAATCAAACAAAATAAAATTAAAGTAAAATAAAATAAAATAAAATAAAATAAAATAAAATAAAATAAAATAAAATAAAATAAAATAAAATAAAATAAAATAAAATAAANGAGGAAATAAATAAAATAAAATATCATAAATAAAAGATAAGAATTTTAAATTCGTCGAAATAAAACTTAAAATTACATAATAAAATAACTGGAAATAATATATTATATAGCATAAACTTACGCCCAATTTTGTGTGTGCCAGGCACAAGCTCTCCTTATTCACAAAGAATACATAAGCAAATGCCAAAAGTATAGCTAAACCTGAAACTGCAAAAACAACTTGTATGCTTGTGTGCGCAAATAGTGCGCTACCAGCTAATGTACCGAGAACAGTGCCAACACCAACAGCAGCATCATTTAAAACCATTCTAAATGCAAGAGAAATTCAAAGATAAAATAGTATTTTAAAAATGAAATCGCTACTCTACCGTTCTACTCACTTCAAACCCTTTAACTGTGGTGATGCAACATCGGTAATATAACAGTAGCAGACAATATAGAAAGCACAGGTGGAGCCCGTGACAGCCGCCGGAATTTGTGCTATGACATAGAGCCAAGGATTGGTGGGTGACTTTGCCGAGACCATAGCCAAAATGAAACTTACGACGAAGCCAAGGAAAATGCCTGCAGGAATATATGTAGAGATCCGTGAATATATATTGTAATATATTTAATTAAAAGCTATTATGAATAAACAAACCAATCAATGCAATCAACAGCACCGGACGACGTCCAAAACGATCCGACCACGCACCAATGAAGAGCGCCAGCAGCGCAGGTATGATGCTGGAGACCAGAGAGTTGGCTAATATTATGCGAGAGACATAGGGTTGCACTTGATTTTCTATTTCCTGTAATCGATAGAAGGAATTCGTTATAATATTTGTGACACAATGTGAAAAACTATGCTTTGTTTTAAGAAAAGAGAGTAAAGTATTTTAATTATATGAAAAATTACATTTTAATTCATCATAATGTTTAACAGTGCTAAAATTTTTTGGATAATAATGAAAGGCGGAAGTACTTATTAGTCATTATTTGTCACTCGCGATAAATAGCTCATTTACATATGTGTATATACATGCATACATACATATATATGTGTATATACATACAAATAAATCTGGTAGTAATATTCACAAATATTTATATAGATATTATTATATATGTATATATTTTTTATTCTATAAAAATAATATTGATAAAAAAATATCTAAAAACTCGTACATACAAACAAGGCTCACGATAACTTGGCGACATGTGTTTATTGCGCAATACATCACTATTTATCAAAGTTTAACGATTGTGTTAGCAGACACGCCGCGTAGTACAAAACCAAAGGTACAGAAGCACCAAATAAACGCATTAAAATTAAAGCCCTGTATGGACATTAAAAAGATAAAAAAAAAAACGAAAACAAAAATACTGAAAGTGCAAGTTTTTTTTGGATTATTATTGGGGGATTTTTTTGCTCGACTTAATTTTCTTTTTTTATGGTTAGAAGGTGAGGTGTACCTAAATTAAGGTATTGTACCTTACGTAAAAATATTATTATCTGTGAACTTGGAGTGTACTCGGCAAATAATCTTCGAGTCATTCGAAATGAAAGAGCTCTCCTGTGCTCCAGAAGGCTTGTATAAAACATTGAATGAGATGAATATATAGACCGTATGAGTTAACGAGAAAAAAACTCAAGGACCGAATCCCCATCTGCGATTCGCTGTTGAATCGTTACAAAATGGAGCCTTTTTTCGAAGCGGATGGTTACTGATGAGGAACTCTGGATCTCCAATATTAGTGTTCGAGCTTTTGTTCCAACATTAACGAGTAGTTTCAGTGTTTATTAATTTAATTTGAAATTCCGGAAATTTTGTAAATCATCAAAATTCTTCCATTGTTCTTCTACTGAGCGAACATTAGAAGCAATCATTTCAGCAGATCAATAATGAACGAGTATCGAGCTGCTCACACTATTCGGTACCCGGACAGGTAGAGATGTATTACATTTTTTCAAATAATTCCAAATATCCTACTCACGTGATTTATTGTGGCATTCGAGATCCCCAACATTGGTTCGCATTCCGCCTCGGTATGTCCAAATACAACCGTGCAGGATTGATAAAGTAATTGATTGGTGAACACAACAGCTAAAGGAACCATTAAATTGCATATTTGTATACTCTGAGGTATTAATGTATTTACTTAGCCAAAAAATATGCACTACTTACATGTCAAAGACGTGGCGAAATTCAAGAGAAACACCGGTGGTTCCAAAATAAATATACGCCTATACCGATTTAACCGCGGCACTGAATTGCTGACCGCATCCGAGTCGGTGACAATTGTTTGATTGCTATTAACATCCTCAACTGTGGTGCGTCGGTGACCAGCTTCGAGGTAGCCGTTTGGTGCATTGTACAGATTATTTTCGAATTCGTTTCCGCTCATCTTATGTTTTGTTCGTTTTTTTTTTTCTCAAATGTATTTTAATTATTTATCGTTTCGTTATCACTTTCGCACGCCCACAAGTGGCTCTTTTGATTTGTGTCAAATATGTTGTTTGTTGGAGTAGAATGTAATTTTTTATCTGCAAACACTCAATTATTGTATTTAGAATTTGATTAAATACTTTCACTTGTTCTTTCGACTTGTAATTCTTTATTTTGCTTTTTTTTTGTAATCTCCTCCTGGTGCGAGCCTCACGAGCGTGACACGGTTTTCGCACCAGTGGCTACCATAAACCAGTGCGAAACTGGTTTTGATAATTTTTGGCACGCTCTTTATATTTAATTATTTTATGGCCAGCGCCGAGCGGCCTTCGTTTGGATTTATTGGTGGTTCCCCCGCGCATGAGTTCTTCGTTGCGTAGCCAATGGTTGATAAGAACTGCATAACGAGTAAGAATTTCTGTTTGGTTGTTTGTTTGTGGGAAAAGCCGTTAACAGTGCAAATGACCTGCTAAGTGAAAAAAATCAATTAAAATTTCAATATAAATTTATAGAAAGTAAATTTTAGAAAAAGTTGGAGAAAGTGACTTGTTTATTGATTATTACATTGAGTTCAGTGAAAAAAAAGACCTCGACAACCTTGTAAACTGTCTTCAGACACTTGACATGTTTAAAGGGTCTTTTTAACCATTTTTTCTAAATTTAGCTTCCACATGCTTATCTTAACTTGCTGTCTAACAGTTTTTGAGATTAGTATTTCCATTGATTTTTTTTTTAATAATTAGCGCCCGGAAGCAACTCAAAAAGTATTACGCAGCAATAAACAATCACCAAGGGAGTTAAAAGTTATAATTTGGCTTGTCTTAGATAAAAAAAAATGATAGATGATTTAGTAGTCTTCGGAAAATAACCGCAACTTTCGATTGTTGATATTACATAAAAAAAAATTTTTTTTAAATTTAAATAAAATGCTATATAAAATATGATTTTGTGTATTTTTTTACTGATTACTTATTTTATTATTTTTAATTCTTTTTTTTAATTTTAGTTCTTTTTCTATTTTTATGTTTTTTTTTTTATTTTACTTCATTGTATTTTATTTTATTTAATATTATTTTTATTTGATTTGATTTAATTTATTTTGCCTTTTTTATTTTCATTTTATTTGCTTTTATTTTAATTACAATTTATTTCGTTTTAATTTATTGTACTTTTTTATTTTTTTTATTTATATTATTTTATTTTAATTTACCTTTTTTTATTTACTTATTTATTAAAGACAATTTTTTAATTTTGTTTTCCACCGGATGCATGTATAGAATTTGTTAAACATTTCTTAAAGAATTCTTAAAAATACGAATTTAACGGCAACAAATTTTAATATCACATACAAACATATATATTTTAACAAGTATTTGTCATTCAAAGTCTGTTTCATACACGAACAAAATATATTCATTTAAAAATAACAAAAGTACAGTTACCCTTGTTAATCTGTTTTCGTTCGCCATTCGCAAGTACAGTCTAACACCGAGAGTGCTAGTGATCTCTTTCCCTCCCATTGATTTTCAGTGTACTTAAGTGAAATGCTTTAATTTATTTTTTGTTTTTAATTTTGTTTTTCGATTGTTGATGGCTCATGTCGTTATTAGGTTATTCAATTTGCTATGACGCTTTATGCCCTGCATAAAAGATGTACACAAATGTATGGTCAGTTTTTATCATTGTGCTCTTCTGTACACTTTCATTAGACTAGATTGGACTGAAACTTCTGCAGTATCAGATTGCATATAAATTGTGATTGATTTGTGATTGAAAGTATTTTGGGTTTGAAGAGAGTTGCGAATTTGTTTCCCAAATTCATATAAAGCGTACGATCATGAACGGTTATGAGAATCTCTTGGTAGTCACAGTTGCAATTTTTAAGGGGGGAACCTGGAATTGCATGATATTCGGCACGGTGTTTTATATTGCCGTACGTATGAAATATTTCAAGTAATTTTGAAATAGGTCATAGATACACAGATCTTGCAAAAAAAATTTACTTTCACTTTCACTTTATTTGATACTGTTAAGCAATAACAATTCGTATTCGTTTGTGGCATTTCTCGCTCGAAGAGTCTATTTTATGAACACGACAGCAATCGTAGTTTTCATCAGAAACATAAAAAGGAATACTTTTTTTCAAGCTTAGGAGTTGCTCTTCTATGTGAACCTAAGATATTCGAAGAAATTTACAAAATCATTTATTTTATGACTGTTTATAAAAAATTCTGCATTTTTCTGAAGAAATTTTAAGATAATTTTTTATTCGTGATTTTTTAGGTTCACATAAAAGCCTACACTATTAGCTGTAAAAAATGGTATCACTTATGAAAATGCGACAATTACAACTTTTTTAAACGTGTGCACAAATCAGAAAAACGCGTTCAAAGCTCTCGCGCCCGCTTATCAGTCTCCTGAGCGCATTGTCCCTCAGAGGCCATTTCTGCGGAACGATTAGGAATTTAACTCTGAAATTTTGTGGAAATATTCTGAATATATTTTTAATCGAAGGAGATAAGCATCAAAAAATCGATTTTTTTGACCCTCTAAACAAGGTTTCCCTCCTTAAAGGGGTTCAAATCAAACATCTATTTTTAATGATAACACAACTTTTGGGTTAATGAATATTTATTAAATATTTAATATACTTCATAATAAAATTCTTTTTTTGATCGAAGTCAATGCACAGTAAATTTAATTAATTACTGCATTCATTTGTAGAAAGAACATCAAAATATGCGTAACATTTTGCGGCAGATATGTATCTATGCACATACATACATATGTATGCATAAAAACGTTTAACCGGTTATAAAAATAAACACACATGTATATATGTATGCGCACATAATCATGCGATAAAACAATTGTTTACCGCAAATCTCTGGGCCATCTCTTTCCTATTTTTCGAGCACAATTATTTCGCTTTGCAAATAAAAAAATTTAACATCACCCGCATATTCTTCTTGCCTTCCACCTTACGAGGTTTCATTTTCGTTTAACTTTTACGCAGAATTTGTTCATTTATAAGCGTTCAGAAATTAATCAAATCGAAAACAGCTGTTCTGCTGGCGTAGTAGCAGTAGTAGATCTGGACAGTTGGTGAATTGTAATAGATCGTGTGGGTACGATCATACCACTATATTTTTTAGTAGTTAAATACTGGGAAATAATTGACAGTTTAAGTGTTGCCATTGCGGTGAAATTAAAAAGCACTGATATTTCTTCAATTCTTTTCACAAGAGCGCTTTCTATTTATTCAAGTCCATAAATTAAGATATTAACAATAATGTCAAAGAACTATACCATAATTTTTTGATGAAATGAATCGGGTCGTTGCAATAATTTTTTAAATATTTACGTGGCCTAACGATAATGAATATTAGGTTGTCAATCAATCTCAATCTCAATCTCCCTTCCGCTTTTTTGTCTTTTGAATTTCGCGGCTATGTACAAAGCGCTACAGAGCTCGTATCTGGCAACACTATACACTATACATAATTTGAAAGGTCTTGACAAAACCTACAAAACAACGCTATGCATGATTAGTTTGGATATTGCGTTCAACAATAATAGACGTGTAAACATGGAGTTCACTATAGCCGAAATTCGCGCTATTTTAAAGTTTTCCTTCGTTAAAGGCAAATCCGCTAGAGAAACGTTCCGTGAGATTAATGGTATTTTGGGGGATGGTACTCTATCACTTCGAACCGCGGAGGAACGGTTTCGACGATTGAAAACGACACCATGGATAAGAAAGCCGGCGGAAGACCTGTGACGAAAAATACCGATCAAATCATGGAATACATCGAGTTAGACCGACATATGTTTGTGTGCCGCATAATTTGACACAAAAAAACCTTGTGGACCGAATCAACGCCTGCGATATGCTGCTGAAACGGAACGAACTCGACCCATTCTTAAAGCGGATGGTGACAAGGCCGGTGAATCGTCCCAAACAGTGGTCAAGCCGGGAGTGACGACCAGGAAGGTTTTGCTGTGTATTTGGTGGGATTGGAAGGGAATCATCCACTCTGAGCTGCTCCCATATGGCCAGACGCTTAATTCTACCATCTACTGCGAAAAACTGGACCGCTTTAAGCAGGCGATCGACCAGAAGCGTCCAGAATTGGCCAACGCCAGACCACACACTTCGTTGATGACTCGCCAGGAGCTACGGGAGCTCGGATGGGAGGTTTTATCGCATCCACCATATAGCCCGGACGTAGCGCCAAGTGATTACCACCTGTTCCTGTCCATGGCGAATGCCCTTGGTGGTGTGAAGTTGAACTCAAAAGAGGCTTGTGAAAAGTGGCTGTCCGAATTCTTCGCAAATAAGGAGGGGGGCTTCTACGAGGAAGGTATTATGAAGTTGCCGTCTAGATGGAAACAGATCATCGAACAAAACGGCGCATATTTTAACTAAATCCGATCACTGTAACACTTTTTATAAAGCATTGAATGAAGAGCAAAAAAGCTGTCGGAGCTTCTGGCGATGTGTGTGGTCTCTCGTTGTTCTGTTGTAATATAACTCCCTTGCTGTTGGCCAAAGCTGGACGATTTTTTCCTTTAGACGGTACAATTGCTTATATAATATTACAGGTCAGTCGATGATTTTTTGCCAATCCCACCAAACACACATCAAAACCTTTCCAGTCATCAATCCTGGCTCGTAGATCTTTTGTTTCGGCTGACTACCCTTCAACCACTACCGTTTTTGTTTGACGTTTGCTATAAGGGATCCACTTTTCATGGGCAGTCACTATCCGCTTCGGTAAAGAATCGATTTCGATACGAATGCAGCATTCGGCATCGAAACGGTTCTTTAAGACTCTGCCTTCTCATAATATACGAAGCTAAAAAAATGGGCTCGGCTGTTCCAACAAAGAAGAGAGACCTATGAAGATGACCTCCGTCCGGGACGGCCGGTGACGGTCGTGACCCAAGAAAAAGTTCAGAAAGTCGAAAAATTATATTTATGGCTTTATAATTATATATATGAGCAGACTCTTGTAAGACACAAAGAGGAGCTCAAGCCATCGAGGCCCAGAGTATATTGAATTTATGGAGGGAATACTTCTCCAACCTGCTGAATAGTAGTGAAAATGGAAAATTCGAAACCCCAATCGGCTGACGGCTGACAGTGTGGCTTCAGACCTGGTAAGTCTCAACCATTGACCAGATATTCACCATGTGCCAAATCTTGTAAAAGACCCGTGAAAAGAGGATTGACACCCATCACCTCTTCGTCGATTTTAAAACCGCCTTCGACAGCACGAATAGGAGCTGCCTTTATGTCGCTATGTCTGAATTTGGTATCCCCGCCAAACTTATACGGCTGTGTAAGCTGACGCTAGATAACACCAGAAGCGCAGTTAGAATTGGGAAGGACCTCTCTGCGCCGTTTGATACCAAACGAGGTTTCAGACAGGGTGTCTCCTTGTCGTGTGACTACTTCAATTTGATGCTGGAGAGAATAATAAGAGCTGCAGAGCTGAATAGAGAAGGTACAATCTTCTATAAGACCAAAGAAGGAGTTGGAGAGATTTTCCAAGAATATTTGAATATGAAAAAAATTAGTACGCGTTGGGTACTGCGAGTAATGCTCACGCCGCGCGACAAGTAGCAACGTTTGGAGAGCTGTAAAGATTTTTTGAAGTTGTGCGAAGTTGACTTGAATGAAATTTGCAATCGCATTGTAACAGTTGATGAAACTTCGATTCATAAGTATGATCCCGAGTCCAAACAGAACTCGATGCAGAGGGGGGGGGGGGGAAGAAGGGGGAATATTATTAATTGTTTACTTCCCGAACCACAATGAACTGCTAGTATTACGCTAATTTGTTGGGCGAGGCAGTCGCGGAGTTATGATATGTTTCTTCATAACAGCGCATCCCTTTACACGGCTCGGGCTGCGAGGGATGCCTTAAAAGCTACACAATTTACAGAAATTGACCATCCACCCTACGATCCGGACATGACCCCCCCACCCTTTTCAAACATGACAGTGAGATGAAAGCGGTTGTAGAAAACCATTTTGGAGAGAAATCTGAAGAATATTTGCTCAGTAGTTTAAAGGCATTGTATTCACGATATATTTCACTATATACTACAATATAATATGATATACGTAGATTGTAGCATTAAGGCCGCGAACTTATTAGCCGCCCGTCGTATTTACTTAGAATTTCTCCTGGCTTAAAAGAGCTTTATATCCACTGCTCAACTAGTGAATTACTTTGTACTAGATTAATGCCCTTTTATATATGTATGTATGTATATGTTTCCATATTGCCTATAATTACATACATACATATGTATACTGCAATGTACTCGTATATACATTTTTGAAAATAATAAATAAGCCTTTTGAAGTGAAAATCAATTTCCGTTAGATTGGATTAAGAAATCAGCTTAGTATTGAAATAATTGAATTTTCTATTTCTCTTTAATTTTTTCTTTTAATTATTTATTTTGACTACTTAAAAATGTACACACACACAAACGTGTATGGATTTGTCTACGCGAGTGTGGCTTAAGGCCGCTGAAAAATGAAAACAACCTTTTGTCACACCTTGTTTGCGCCTGATTAGGCGGCAGTTGTGCAGTGACTGATCAATACCAATAAAATTGTGCTCCAAATCTTATAAATGGAATAGGCTTTAATAGGATTAAATATTTGATATTAAGACGAATACCATAGAGTACAGAGCGAAAGCTCAAAATCAATACTTTGTGACTTTGTGACGGTGTCAGTAGATTTTCAACGGGTTATTTTGAGAATAAAGTGGAGTTTGTTTGAATTTAGGAAATCACATACGAGTAATACATACTTATATATATATATATATGTATACGAGTGGTGGTCGCGGCAGCCAAGTGGTTAGCATTGCGTACTGACATTCGGAGGGCTCGGGTTCAAATCCCGGTGCCATCAACATCAAAAAATTTATGTAAATATGGAAAATTAATTTAAGTAAAAAGTTAAGTTAAATTTTCCAATTGCGGCCACGGCATGTCGACCCCTCCGCGTGTAATAAAATAAAGGCACCCCGTAACAAAACCATCTGCTGTTCAGAGGCAGCTTAGCATTAAATCTCCAATTATATATATTATATATTGTATACGAGTATATGTACGTATTTATCTGCTATCTTGATAAAGATTCAATCAATAGACTTTAATTTGACTCGGTGCTTCATCGTTTTCGAGGACCCTTTGATGTCTATGCAATGTAGGCTTCGCAGAGCTTTAAAAAAAAGTCACGCTCACGTCTTACGAAATTCCAAACTGTTGATCACAAATGGGAATCAGTGAATTGATTTTTGGAATACATTCATTTTCTTGTGTCGTACTAAATCCTCAGGCTGTTGCCACATGTCACAGATCGTCGACAGACTGCGCCAGCGGAATGTGTTGCTTTTGAGCAGTCTCGTTTTTGGTGGGACAAAACTTGTATTCAATATATTGAACGCATATGTTTACTCTCACACATACTCATATACTCGCATATTCTTCTGTCGTGCGCATTGTCATTTGACGTCTCTAGGAGGATGGCCACAAACGGCAAATCACAGCTAAGTGCAACGCACGCGCATCAACAACAACAAACGCAGTCAAACAATTATTATTGCGTACCGCAAGACGCAGCAGTTCGTTTGCCATGCCATGCGTTCTATACAAATTCCTTGCGTCCCCAATGCGTTTCCATTACAATCAAGTGTATACAATGTTCGCACGGTTGGGATCGTCTGCTATTTGCATAAATTTCGACTTTTTATGACTGATAGTGTAAAAACAAGGCGTGGCGCTCGCTGCAGTTATTGTTTGCCTCTACATATGTATGTCTGTCTATCTGCGACTGTGGTTGCGAGCGCGCCGTGCCGGACTTTCAACTGACATCTGAAGTAGTGGCTGCCGCATTGCTTTGACCGCGTCGTCATCGTCGCGATCGTCGTCTGCTAGAACACCATGCGGAGCTCAGCGCGCAATTGAATTTAGTTTTATTGTTGTCGTCAATCCTGTTTCTACGAATGTGAATGCCACACCACACCACCCTATCATTCGAGCTTATCGCGCGCGCTC